AAGCACTTCGGGATTTGGCTAAAGGATTGCGGGTTTTGGCTAAAGCTTGATGGGAAAAGGTGTATTTGTACATGAGAACCTCAACCAAACTCATCAGACGCGAATCAATTTTAGCCATCATTATTGCCATTATTCGTTGTTCTTTTGGCCTATGTACATCAATAGAGAAGCCATAAATCTATATTGCGTCATGCTGAACTCATACGATGAGAGGCGGCACTCGAGAGATGTTTGTATTCTTTTCCACTATGATGCACCGGTCCATAAAGTCAAAGTTTCGAACCCCAAACACAGCTATCCATGTAAGCCATGAACCCATTGAAGTGAATTCACTGAGTGTTCGCAAACCCGAACTTTGGGATTCGTCTAACACTAATGACAAGTTTACGGACGACTATTGCTGCATTTAGGGCTGCTGTTCTAAGGGTGATTGGGTGGATTTAAGCAACTAGCTGGACAGAACGGGATCAACTTACGTTTAAAATACAACCTCAAATCAAATGTNAAATGTATATCACGAGCCACTATCCAGGGTTTTGGGCAATCCCGGTCGCCTTCAGATGACAGGGGCATGTCTTATACGTAGCATCAAATAGATTACCACACCATGTGATCTGTGACCAGGTGTAGGTGTCAAAATGTCAAGGTTGATTGTATACAACCGATTACCAAAGAGAAATGGGTCATATAGGTTGCGTTAGTCTTTCTGGATGGTGACCACCAGATTACTGTAACCGGTGGTTATAGAGACTCGGAGTGATATGGACAGGTGTAGTGCACAGTGGTACGCGTACAACTACTCTGTACCTTTATGTCCCGGAAGTGTGATCTATAATTAGGAGCTGTCTATTACATGTGTATATATCATAGGTAGGGAGAAACTCTTTGACTCATAATTAGAACCAATAGGTTGGTGATGGTAGCGCATTGGTTTAGTCGCTCTCACCGGCTCGCTTTGTACCCTGTGGTTTGAAGTTCAAGCCCAGCCACCCGCACCCAACTTTGGTGATAAGTAGCTTTGCTGCCGTCTGGTTCAATACCGCACTTAACCCATCGGCGAGGTCTTATGTGGCTCGCCATTCTAATCCGCCGGTGCTTAAGTTACTGGTTTCCATCACTGGACTGCAGGTCTTCGTGACTATGAGATTCGCCCCGTCTGCTGTTCATCACACAAAAGTATGTAATTAAAAAATTATCCCAATACTTCCGCGTTCCAACTTGAGTTCACATCATTTGCTACTACTTTGAACCATCAATTACAAAAGAGCAGCTGGGATCACTGCAAATACAACAATAAAGAAAGTGGGTAAACTAGATGTGTGTTGAAAGTGGGTGGATGCATGAGTGTCACTCCTTGTCATGGTGGTTTCACGTTCTGTAACCGGAAAGCCTAATGGGACCTGGATGATCAAATCGCCTCGACAGGATTTCCACAACTTCCTGGTAGGTTTCAATCAGGCTATATTTGATTTTGCTTCACCAATTATTTGCCCTCGCCAACATTACAACTACCCATTGGCATGTGTTAATCATACCCCACACATTGCAGTTTAGATAACTCAAAGACTTGTTAGTTCAGCTGCTCCACGACAGACTTGTAAGATACTGTGTAGACAGTGATTGATACCCAATGGCTCTTCTGACCGGCTAGATTGGGCTGTTTGTAAAGCACGAATACGAGAGTTTATTCTAAAAGTGCAATCCGAGACTATCCTGAATGATTAAGCTTCCAGGTAATTCCGGGCTTTATTAGAGACGAGCTTTTTTTCAAATATTTGCATTAAATGTAGCATGATAAAGCCAAACTCGGGCTGTTTTCTTATATTAACTGAACCAGAAGTAACCGGGAACTGGGAACGTCCTTATCTGAGATCCACGGGTACTCTTCCCCAGATGAATTCACTCATTTTCAGTATCAGTTTGTACACCCATTTACCATGCATTTGCGTGTGCCGGTATTTTGATTGCTGTCTTTTGGACATAACAGTAGAAGAAAGACAGGAAATTTGAAAGTAAAGTCGAAAAGAAATTGGAGAATTTCAGTAGACTAAGTGTCAGGAAAAGCCCAACCTTCCCCCTGAGAATTCTCACGGTTTCAATCAGAACTTTATTGGAATCAATCGCGACCATATGAACGTGTCGGCTTTTTCTCGATGGTACTGGATACGTGGGTTTCAGAGTGGAGTACAGAATACAATGACCTCACTTCTGGCAATCCCTCCACTCCCATTCCAGACAAATGTCCTGTTAGTGAGCAACCTCATAAATATCGCACGTTTTCTTCCTTACGCGACCACGTTTTGGCTGGCAATACCAGTAAAGGCCAGCACTGTTTCCAACTTTCTTTTTACCGGAATCGTTGAGATACGCATCGTAATACCAGGTTCTGTAATAGATTGACAAGACACAACACTAAGGTTGCAAAGAAATTGAAAAAAATGCACTTTATGATTACGGAATCGTTGTAATGGGGTACGGGTAGCTTAGTAAACGGATCCGATCAACCGTGCACTCTGAATGAACTGAAACTCGTGCGTGAAGATGAATTCTGAAAGACTTAAATATTCCGCACTGCGGCTCATAAGGAATTGCGGGTTAATTATGAATTTTGTTAATCAACAACACACGATCATGCACAGTACGGTGATTGGTACGAATGGTTTGCATCATTAGGCAATTTGTAAACAGCAATGCTTTCGTGTGATTGGTTGTTCACCGACCAACACGTCACGGAATCTATCTTTTGTACAGTAAAGAATTTTACACGATCCCGTTTATACACGATACATCCGGTACTCTCTTCTACTGGACCGTTTCACTTTTACTGTTCACTTGTCCACTCAGTGTCGCGTATATCTGGATCCGACGGATGTGTTAAAAGCCGAACCGGAGGAAGCAATTAACAAGGTGAATTTGACACTCAGTGTGCTGCACGCGTTCAAAACGTGCTATGAGGAGCATCGAGCCAAGTTGCATGAATATTTTGCCAAGGTGAAGGACGAGAGTGGTCAACCGATCGAGCCGGTCCTGTGGGAATTCAAGACGGAATTGGCTTTCGGCCGGTATGATGCTTTCACCGAACGTGTACAATTTGTTCAGGTAAGGAAANGGTCCCGGGTTCGATTCATCATTGGTTCGATGGATTCGCACGGCACGGATTGTAGACTCAACAGGTGTCCGTTGCTTCACAGTTTTTTTCAACTCACACCTCATTTACACGACGAATTAATCAAATAAATTGTGAATTAGGATACTTCACTGATATGCACTGAACGAGATACATCAAGTAATGGTTAATCTTATGTAACAGTGATCCGCATATGCGTACGATCTGTTGTAGTTCTTTTGGACAATTCGAACGAGAAAAATGCTCTACTGAACCAAAATCAGAATTGTGTGGTCGATAAGATCAGAGAAAGTCTGCACCATAAGGAAGTGTACCGTAGCCCTGCGCCACGGCATCTATGTGATCAAGTCTCCTGGTTGGGGTTTTCATACCCTCATACCCCCAGATCTTAGTCTAACCACCCTTGGTTTTGTTCCACTCACTACCTGCCACGGCAAAGATCGCGCGCCGTAGCAATCTATTTGGTGATATACGCAACGCATATCCCAACCAGCCTAGTCTATGAAGGTCAACCACTTGTTCCGGTGTACGACCGCGAATACCTAAAACGCTACAGCTAACCTCAGCATTGCTTGTTCGGTTTCTCCACCGGACATTAAATTCCGCTAAAATGGAGAAATTGGAATATTGTATGTATGCTACTACGGAATAGAAACGGTTTTGTTTTTCACAAATAAACTGTGTGAAACAAAGTTAAATCAATTTGTTTGTTTAAGATCTCTGTAGTTTGTGTATTGAGTCTCTCATACGAGATGTAGTATACAACAACAAAGAGCAGCCAGAGCTGTTCACGTAACCATGCACCATAGACCAATGCAACCAACCAAAAAAAAAACAATTACGCATTACTGCCATAGCGAAGGTCGATTGTACTATTTATTCTGTTCAGGAGAATTAAACCGTTTCAGTGGTTCTAGTAGATGGTTTAACAAAAACCGTCGATTAAACTTTTCCGGCGTCGTTCATCAGGATCTTAGGAGGATTGCAATGTTGACTTACCGGAAAATCTATTGTCTTACACTATAGTCTCAATCACCTATTCTGCATTCGTTCACGTACACCTCGATCGTTTGTTAAATCGGATAGTCGAACAGACAAGTGATCACAAGTATGGCGGCGCATTGTTCGGCTTTTTTTTCCAATGATACAAGGTAAAATAAAAATGAACGACACAATCGTTTACCCTAGATCGATTACGGTGATAAAGACCATGTGGGGGTAGGGTATGTAAGACAATCATCTTTGTAACTCCCAGTATGAATAGTGAGGTGATACGTTGAGCCTGTCGATCGTTTGTTCGATCGTTTCACACCTAGTGGAATCAAACCACGTGATTGTGTTTTGACCGAGGCGTTTCGACTCTTCTACTTTGTGCGCAGCTGTCGTTCTAAGAGGATCAAGAGTCGCATTCTGGCCACAGCGAAGGCGATCGGAACTCGTCTACATTATCCCCCACCCCGAACCAACCAACCCCCAAACAACCCCGAAACAAGGTGTATGTGTGATGACCCAAGTGTGAGCAACATCCGGTCATAGAACTGGAATATGGATTATTTCTCTTCCCATTTGTCATAGTTTCCCTCCTCCTACTAAACTTTTGAAATAAATTGGGATATATTAGCCTGTAGATGAATCACGAGTTACTGTTCGCTACTGTGTGTTCTTCTTTCCACGTCAAATCAACTTGAATAGTTCAAGTATTGTACTGCCGACAGGGACAGTATGCTAGTTGCATAAAAGCAATGAAAACCATTAACGGTGTACATGAATCCACAAGTGACCGTAGGAAATCTAAAATATATCTGATCATGAAATTAGCTCTTGACTGATATGACCAGGCTTACGCATAAATCGATGAGATGGGGTAAAATCGAGAGCTTATAAATCGCAGTTCGTAAAGTGATATTTCATACCACTACAGAAACGAACTGTACATTCAGCATAGCTTCACATTATCACTGATATTAGTAAAACGATAGTTGATCGGAACGAATAATTTCTCTCGTAGCCCCATTGTCACATTTGACATTTTTTGTCGTTTTCTTCTTCTCTTCTTCATCAGTGTTTTATTCGTGCCAATCAATTCATGCATTTTTGTACAAAACGTGCAGTTTACTGTTCATCACTTTATTGTTTATCATTATTATTATTATTATTTGTTGCCTTAGTTATTTCCCATACCAAGTACTACTGAACTTCTTTGAGGTCCATTTTGGCATTGATTGAGTATACAAATGTACGGTCCGATTTCAGCCTACTGGTTAATATCAGTCAAGTGGAGACAAATTTGTCAATCTTTGGCCACAACAAGGAGTGGGATGGGGGAAGAAAGAACAATTTGCTCATAAATCTAACTTCTTTCGAGGCAACAATAGTCAGCATTCGAAAACCGGGGTGAACAGGTCACAGCGGATGTGAACTAGGTACTTGGCACTTCACTCGACGCTATATA